GCTGATAACTGCAAGGTCAGCAAATTGAAACTACCAGCCAATTTGTGGGAGAAAGAGGAGGCTTTCTACTCCTAGAAATATTGGCAGTCTCCGAGACACACAGGGACTCACTCCTCTGCCCTGTAGGTTTGTTATGGGTCGTTGGAATCGACTGTGCGGCAGTGAGGTTTGGGATTTGGGGACATGAGGACGAGGTGGAGATTATTGCCGCTCCCGCTCTGCAGGACTCCGTCGTAACACGTGGAGCTGATTATTCATGATTCTTCCGCCAGTGCGTCAGTTTGCAAAGATCAAATATCTCCCCCAAGTCTGTCACTTGTTCTGTTTCAGAAATCATGAACAAGGAAGAGGTGACTGGAGGATTTTTTTTGTTTTTGTTTTTTTAATAAACAACAGGGAGTGGGAGCTAGTGGGGGAGGGTGGGAGGAAGCTGGCCGGGAAGGATAGGTGGAAACATAAGTATAAGTTCCTGCTGAGTTAGGAGTCATCTTTAAAGTTTGTTTACAATTTTTCCCTACCCCTTCTACAATAATTATCATACTAAGAGCCACCACACATGCAAATCCCTGAATGAATATGCTAATACATAAGTAAGACAATAGAATAGCCTATTCCAAGTTCAATGACTCAATGCTTGTGTGATTTGGCTGGGCTGTACTGAACAGCCTTATATGCATAGAGGAGTCCCTGGATACCAGAATGGCTAAGTACTCAGCCATCAATGGAGAGGTTGGCAGTTCTAACCCACCCAGAGGTGCCTCGGGAGACAGGCCCGATCATCTGCTTCTTGAAACCCCAATGGAAGTTCTCCTCTGCCCAAGTGAGATGGAAGAGACACACTTTGTCCTCCAGGTCCCCCAAGATCTGTCCCCGAGGGAGGCTATGGGAGGATTTAAGGAGCATTGTAAATCGTCTCTACTCGAGGGGAAACTTGAATGTTTTACAAATTATGACTGTGGAAATCCCCACCACCTTTGCTCCGCTCAGCCTAACTCAAATGCCTGGTATCCTGGAATGAGGCAGACTAGATTGACCTGCTCGTTGTTGGTCATGGTGGTCTCCAGCCCCCGCCGTCCTAGTGACCTTTGCAAACAACTTGCAGGGAGAACAGCCTTCAGATGTCAAGAAGGTAGTCAAGGAAGTGATGCATGATAAGCATGGAAATTTCATTTCAAACAACGAATGTTTCCAGCCAAATTCAAGAGTGTAATAGGCAACATCCAAAAATAAAAATGAGGAAATTAGGAAATTCAAGTCATTCTAATAAGAGCAACCACCGGGTCGGAGATTATGGTAACAGCAGAGGAATCATTTGGAAGAGGAGAGCAACGATGGCCGCACAGCTTGCAGAATACAATGAATTATCATCGGAGGGTGCGTGTCAAAATTGTTGAGCAGATACATATCTTCCCCCCAAATCAACAGTCACTCTAGAAAGAGAATGGTTGTGTCAAAAGTCATCCGAGCTGGAAAGTAATGCAGTTCATATTGATTGTGTATTATTTATAAATGTGTACAAGTTTGAGAAGAGCACCCCATGTCCTACTAGAGCACAATCACTTGGACATTCAGGTTATAGATTTAGTTTTGTTGTTGTTGTTTTTTAGCTTTAGTTTTGGAGATCAACTAAAGTTGTATGGAGATGTGTGCATAATAATCAGCCAATCCACAGGCAACAAGTTAATCACAGATGCCATGAGCCTAGCCCGAGCAAAGCCTACCCTGGAGGGGCAAGACATTAGCCTGTCCTTGTCCTGGTTGATAACTGGTGCTTGGCGTATCCTCTTAACATTCTGCAGCTAGGCGCCCAGCTGAAGCTCGGGGATGACCCAGCTAGGATGGTGACCAATTTTCTTCTAGGACTTTGTGGGTTAATAGTTAAAGCTTAATAGCTAAATGATGCAGACAGATTCTTACACCAAGTGCATACCTGTGGCAGTATCATATCATTAATATCCCACTTTAGTATCTCTTTGTCTTCAGGATCCACGTCCTCTGGTTCCATGATAATGTCAAGCCACCCACTGGGTGTCGTCTCTTCAACTCTGCTCAGCAGTGTCTGAGAATTTTGCTTTCCAAAGCTTGAATGCAGTCAACATGAGCCCATTCATGCAATTTAGATAGGAAGATGGTTTTCTGATCCTAAAATAATAATAATAACAGCTACTAAAGAGATAAAAATCAGTACTGCTGGGCAACATATAATTGATTACTTTTTTTAAGCACCACCATATGAATGAAAGGCAGAATGTAAAGGACATGAAAAAGATTGCTGGAGTCAAGCCTGGCCATTGGGTGCCAGTGGAGTCCCTGGATGGCAGAGCTGGTTAACGCAGTCAGTGACGAACTGAAAGGGCGGACGTTGGACCCCAGACAGAGGCCGTGGGTGATCTACTTCTGAGACACCAACCACTGAAAACTCGGTGGAGCACAGTCCTACTCTGTACCTGGGGCCACCATGAGTCGGAATGGATGGCAGGGCAACTGGTATCAGCAGCATGGCGTGCACAGCCTTGGCCTGTGGCCTCCAGTGTCCTTTGGCAGTGGTTCCTGGTTTCAGCAGGGATCAGTGTCAAGAGCAGACACTGCTTAAGACCTTTCAGGTGGGCAGGAAGGAGAGCTCATTGGGTACTGTTTCCACAGGAAATGCTTTCCTCTACCCGCTCCAGCCAGGTGAAGCTACAAGAGGGGAATATCGCAACCAGATGCATCTCAACATGTTTGGTTTTTTAAACCGCAATTTCCATAGAGACAACTCAAAAGTTGGCCTCCTCCATAAACCCACGGCCATTTTATATCTTTATATAACATCTGACATTTTCAGTCAAATACTACTTCACTGTGGGGGCTGTTCTGGGCTCTGAAGGGCGCTTGGTGGCACCCCTCCATTGTGAAAACAGAAAGAAAAAAACAAAACCAAACCACATTGCTGAATGTGACTTGGGCCACAAAAAGTGTCCCAATGGTTCAAAAAATGTTGTTAGTTGCCCTCAAGCCTGTTCCAACAACTGACGACCCCGTAGGCAGAGCGGAACTGCTCCATTGGGTTTCAGAGCTGGGGTCTCTCAGAGGCAAGTCACAGGAACTGCCGGCAGAAGCACCTCCGGACGGGTTTGACCTGTGAACATCGAGGTGACCTATCAAGCTTGGAACCTTTTGTACACAGGGACTTCAATGGAGCCCTGGTGGTGTAGTGGTTATCCTGGGCTGTTACCCACAGGCCAGCAGTGGGGAACTACCAGCGGCTCTGCCGGAGGAAGAACAGCTTTCTATTCCTGCCAGCAGTGACAGGCTTGGAAACCCACTGGGGCAGCTCTACCCTGTCCTATGGGGTTGCTATGAGTTGGAATTGACTTGAAGTTTGGTTTTCTGATTTTGAAGGATTTCAAAATTCCGAGAAGTTGCTGCAACATAGGCTGTGCATGAAGCTGCTAACCGCAAGGTTGATGGTTGAAACCCACCAGCCGCTCCTTGGGAGAAGAGTGAGGCTGTCTGCTTCCACAGAGTTTCAGATTCCCAGAAACCCTAAGGGCGGTTCTACTCTGCGCTTCTAGTGTCCCCATAAGTCCCAACAGGCTCTGGTGTGGGTTTTGGGTTTAGGAACTTCAAAACTCAGACCACTCCTAAGACATTTTATTTTTCCTCTTGAACAATTCTCATTGTTCTCCCAGCCCCTAAGGAAACTTCGCCTCCGTTTACTTTCATGTAATTTTATGACAGAAGGAAAGGACATTCAAACACGTGTTCAAACAGCATCTTTTCCCCATGAGAGATACTGCTCTAACCCTAACTGGCTAAAGAGGATTTAAAAAAAAATAGATTAAAGGAAAACGTCACTATTCTATCCTGAAACAAAAAGGACCCTGGGGGGCACAGTGGTTAGACACTCAATGATCCGCCCAAACCTTGGTGGTTACACCTCCCAGAGCCGCCTTGGTGGACAGGCCTGGTGACTTGATTCCTAAAGGAGCTTGAAGCCCCTGCGCGGCCACTCCGGCATCGCGAGCAGTCAGCATGCACTCCGCGGCAACAGAAAAAGAAAAGCCAAAGCCACCCACATCCCAGATCTTCTCGTGGACGGACACACTCATGTAAGGCTGCAGAGTAACTCGCATTTAGGCGTACAACTTTCCATTGGCTGGTGCTCCAACTAAACTAAGGGACATGATGATGTCGTGTGAAGCTACTGAATTGAAGACACGAAATACAAGGTAGAATAATAATCTATCCTTCAGGAAGTCCCAGATCTCTGCTTCCCATCCACCACCGAAATCTATTCATGGGATCCACGAGGAAAATCTAGTCTTCCTGCAGAACAATTGTATTAAAAATGTTCAGGTGTAGACTTTTGCCAAATGGATGCCTATTAATATTTCCCTGAGCTTTTTATAAAGACGTAGGGGAAATTTTCTTAAAGATTGTTTACAGCTATTAAAACATTGACAAGGACACTCCGTTTTCTTCCAGGATTAAAAGAGGCCTGGCAATAAGGTTTGGGGTCCTGCGTGTGTCAAAGCTTCCTTACTGGTAAGACCACTGGACCACCGTCTACGCCATTTTCCTCATTTCCGCAGCATACGAACTAGAACAAGGAAAAGCACAGAGAAACAGAGGCGGCTCTTCCTGCCCGCCTCCCCTGGGCCTCGCTCTGAGGTTTCCAGCTGCCTTACCTGCTGACTTCTTATGTGGGCTCCCTATGACCACATCCTGCCATCAAATCCCCGGTCTGGTCGAGGTCCCAGCAGGCTCTGGCTACTGCGAAGCAGAGGCTGCTGTTGCCTATTCCAGGTCAGGGTACACTATGCTAATGAGCTCTGGCAACAGCCCAATCAAAATTGAGCGGTTCTCTGGTTGTGATAGGTAAGAGCCACCTTGAGGAGTCACTTAACCAGTCTCATTTTCCTCAGAATGCCAGCAATGTGATAAATAATTCTGTGTTGGGCATCTGAACTTTTCCCTCTTTCATGCGCCGAGGGCATTTTAACAGAAACAGATGCCAAATGGAAACTCATAAGGATATTCATGTGCTCCTCATATAATTTGCTAGGCTCATAGGTTGGGTTCGAGGTAGACGGATTCATGGGAGATTTTAACTCTCCCACTGTTAACCTGTCCCGTGCGGAAGGAAGAGACAGGCAGATAGAGGTAGGGAGATATGATGGTGAATTTTCACTGAAATAGACATTGGATATCAACATCTCCTAAATCAGAAACACCAAAATGCTATCCTACCCTTAACAATAATGCCCGACTAGTGCGGAGTATTTGGAAGCTTCTGCCCCCACTCACTCACCCCCACCCCCAACCCCGTCCCGCCCCCGCCTCCAGATAATACAATTGCTTCTCCCCCAAGGCCATATGTTAGAATTTTCTGTCCATTCTGGCATGGGACTCAGTGTGATTTACAGAATTTCCAAATTAGAGGTAGAGGAATTGTACTTTCAATTCAGATACCAAGCTATCAGGCTGACCCCAGGGCTGCTGTGGTAGTTACATAATCTGTTGTCAATTTGAGACTTAAGGATGAAGGGGTGGAGTTTAGCCTGTTAATCAGGTTTGCAGTTTGATGACCTCATTTGGAGGCTCTAAGGGGATAAATAGCTTGCTGGAGGCGGGACACACACACACACTCCCTGGGAGACATTCCTGTTGAGAAGGCACATGGAGCTATGCCCTGGAGCTGAAGGAGCCACATGGAGACCACTGCCAGCACTGAGATGCTTCCACTGCCACTAGATCTGCAAGACTTCCCACCCACTGGCCTGTGATCTTCCTGCTTTCGGCATCACTGCATGTGTCTGAAGAGGAATTTATAGATTGGTATTGGACATATGGGCCAATATCGGATTTATGGACTTGATCTGGACTGGGTTGGGATGTTTTCTTGCTATTCAATTGCTCTTTTATATAAAGCTCTTTCTTAAACACATATGAGTGTCCATGGATTTGTTTCTCTAGTCAACCCAGACTAACACAGCTGCTAATGGCCGACTTGGTGGAACAGGAACGATTGAAGCCAGTATGAGAGCGTGAGGAATGACCAGGAAAGAGAATTGGAAAGGGAGGAGAGAGGCCTAATGATGAGGCCTAAGAGGCCCTGGTACAGTCGAGTCTGAGGTCAGTTCCCATCTTCTCCTTTCTTCGAAAAGTAGCGACTTCTAAGCTTTAGCTTGTTGGAGTTGGATGTCTAGAACTGGTGACTATCAGAGCTCCTGTAAAGACATCACACATTCTCCAATTGTCGGTCATCCCAAAGTTCATTCAGAACTCAAAATAAGCCGCTCTCAGGGTAGTTACTGTGGACTGGGGGGGCTGTTTATGCTAGTGGTGGTGAAAAAAGTTGTAAAAGGATGGTGATAATAGCTGTGCAACAAGAAGCCTGTAATCAATGTCATATGGATTAAGCATGGAGAAACATTACCTTGCCAAATGTTTATTTCTATTTTTACCACAACCTAGGAAACAAAATGCTTTTTTAAAAAATCAATACTTCTAAAGATGGCTGATTGAAGTGATCTCTTTTAATAAATTTTAAAATTCTTTGCAATGTCTCACCTGGCTGAGTGTGTAGGACAGGGGCCGCAGCTGTCAGCCCCTGGTACACTCACCTGGTTCATACAATGTTTACCACCAGTCATCAGGGCATCTCAGAGAACACTGGTGCTATGTAATACTCATCTTTGAGGTTTTTTTTCTGTTTAGTTTCTCAAAATTTACGCTGTTTGCTCCAAGTTCCCCATCCTACAATTCCACTCTAAAGAGCAACTTCTAACATCTTGGGTGAAATTGTGTTAGGCAAGATTCTCTAGAGAAACAAAACCAGGACACTTATGATTTTAGATAGATAGATAGATTTATACAGCAAGAAGGAATATAACAGCTAATTAGTCCACAAAGCAGTACAGAGGGCTCAGTTCAACTCCCTTTTATGGAACAATTAATATACTGGAAGTCCTTCAAATCAAGTGGACTACTAGGTCCAAGGTCAAGGAAACGGACAGCAGAGTCTGCCCTCAGGCAACAAACAGCAGAGTGGGTCAGCAACCTTCAGTAGCTTGGGAACTTAGCAAAGCAGGCCCTGATGGGTTCTCAAACGCAAGCACAGTGACAGGATCCACCGGCCTCAAGCTCAAGCACCAGCAGCATGGTGAAGCAGGTCTAGAAGGAGCCTCAAGCTCTAGCAGCACATCCATAGGTTGGCTTGGCCCACAGGTAGTGTAGCACACAGGCTGAGGCAAAGAATTAGCTAAAGCAGCTGCACAATGGTCCTGCTGCATCTATTCTGAGAATGAAGAGACTGAGCTAGGATTTTCTTTCTGAGTACCAGGAGCCCTGGTGGCACAATGGTTAAGTGCTCAGCTGCTAAACAAAAGTTGACGGGATGAATTTACCTAGTGGCTCCATACAAGAAGGACTTAGTGATCTGTTCCCATAACGATTACAGTCAAGATGACTCTATGGGGGCAGATTCGTTCTGTCACATGGGTCTCCAACAATTGAAAACCAACTCAGTGGCCCCAAAACCAATGGACAAGAAAAGCAGCAACATAAAACAGCTCTTGCTATATCTCTGTTCAGATCAGACAGATCTGATTGGCTTTGAGAGCCCAGGTTGGCCGTTCAGGTGAAGTCCCTAGAAGTCATGATACTCTCTGGGGAATAATGTAAACTTTTTTTTAATTTGCTTTAATGATTAGGCTTGAGAACAGTTTCATCAGTAGAAACTATGACTAACATGCATATGCAATAAATCACTACCATGAACCTCGACAAAGAAACAAGAAAAGAAACAAGCTCTCACATGCATAGTGGTAGGTTATTTCAATTTTCCCAAGAACACTTGCTGTTTGTTTTGTGCTAAAAGACAAGTAATGGGAAGTCCTAAAGATTAATGAGAAATGTGGGGAAAACCAACATTGAGAAAGCTCAGTGGTTTCTTAACTGATCTTACAAATTGGTTGTTATGAATTCTCTCTCACTCACTGCCATTGAGTTGATTCCTAATCACAGTGACCCTACAGGACAGGGTAGAACTGCCCCTGTGGGTTACGAGACTGTAACTCTTCACAGGAGTAGAAAGCCTTGTCATTCTCCTGCAGAGCAGCTGGTGGTTTCGAACTGCTGACCTTGCAGGTAGCAGTCCAAAGCACCACCACTGCACCACCACGGCTCCTTGTTATGAATGAAGACTCAAACAAAATGCCTTGGAATCCTAACCGTGACACTTGCAGATGTAATCCCATTTGGGAATAGGGTTTCCTTGGTTGTGGTGATGGGAAGTATTATTAGGACAGACCTTAAACCTTCTACACAATCAACAGAGCCTAGCATCTAATTAGACCCTGGGCAAGATAGGAGTCCGGGAAGACGACGAAGGGAAAAGCAATGCTGGGCTACAGCAATGGAAAGAGTCACGAGTCTTACCCCTAGAGCCACTGTCCTCCATGCAGACTCCTAGCAAAGCACATCACTGTTCCTTACGACCCCACCTGTAGCTCTTCTGCTCCAGCAGTTCTAGGAAACAAAGACAGCAGGAACACATTTTATATATCATTTAGGAGCCACCAATCAGACAAAGCTAGAATATGTTCCCGCTGTTTCCATGAAGGCGTGAAGTTCCCAGGCCTGGTCCAGTAACACTGCCTTGGTCCTCAAGGGGGAGGCTCATCCGAGGGAGCACGAGCTGGTACTCAGCTCCCAGTGAACCCTGGACTCTCGTGTCTGGAGGCTCGAAAGACCGCAGGAATCAAAGATGGGGAAGAAAGAAATATCAAGAAGAGCTGCGTTCAGTAAAACTGCACACCCTCAATGTCCATATGGCTAAATGCCACTCGGGGAGAGAGATCCCCCAATGGCAGGGTTTGTATGTACCCAGGACCAGCTTCAGCCAACATGACACTCACCAATCCGGTACCACAAGAGCTCCCCTACACTGGCAGTGGAGGCTGGTCAGTAAAGCTGAGACTCCCAGCAGTGCCCATTAGAAGATGTTGTGACTTGAGACAGGGAAATAGCTCCCAAAAGGACAGGGCAGGAGAAACAACAGTGCACACAATGTAGTAACAAAGGACCGACTGATGGACACACATGAGACAACCCAATGAAGACACAACCAGCCAACTGTGGGCTGGGGCCCAGATCCTGTAGGTGTGTTCTTGAAGCCATATCCTCAAAAGTGGCCCCAATTCAAACTCGGAAACCAGGGAAACGGGAGGCTAGATATTCACAAATCAAAAGCTCTCGAGGAGAATGCAACAGCTGTTCTTCCCATTACAGTGAGCACGCTTCTTTCCTTCTTTCTGGTGTGAGTAGGTGCCACCTTCAAATGGGTTCTGACTCAGAGCGACCATCTCTCCAACAGCAGCGAGCGCTACGCTGTCCTGGACCATCCTCACGTGGTTGTTATGTTCGGGTTTAGGGGAGGACCCACTGTGGCTGTCCACCTCATGATGGGCTTTCTCTTTTCTGTGGACCCTGAAACTTTGATCAAGCATGATGCTTTTCTTTATATATATATAAAGCTTTAGATTTCTCATAAAACCTCCCTTTCGGTCACCCTTTATCATATGACACTTAAAAGCAAGCTATTGATACAAAACGAAAATATCTCGTATGTGTGCAGTCTGCTATGGCTCTGCTTCTCTAACTTACTGCTCTCTGGACCAGTTCACACTGCTCGAGACAAAGACCTCTAAGAGCTTCTGTTTAGAAAGGGATATGTATCCAGATCG